AGACCGCGCGCGGACTTGAAGGGAGCGGCGGCAGCCTCTCGCTCCTGGCACCATGGGCTGCACCCTGAGCGCCGAGGACAAGGCGGCGGTGGAGCGGAGTAAGATGATCGACCGGAACCTCCGCGAGGATGGCGAGAAGGCGGCGCGCGAGGTCAAGCTGCTGCTGCTCGGTGAGGGCGGCCGGGTCGGGCGCGGGGACGGGCGGGGCGCCCCGGGGGTCGGGCGGCTGTGCGGGGCGCTGCGGGCCCCTCGGCGCTCGCAAACCCGGAGCGGACGTGTCACAGCGGCCGAGGGCGCGTCTGGCGGCGCCCTGGATGGCTCCCCAGCAGGAGCCTGGGTGGTGAGGTGCGGAGCGGAGGCGGCTGCCTCTCTCCCTGGTCCTCTCCCTCCCTCCTCCTGGCCGGTGGTGGGAACTCGCCGGCCGTGGGGCGGGAGCTTCACGCGCGTGCCTGGGTGTGGACCCCGCGGGGAGCCGAGGAGCGGATCTGGAGTAACCCCTTTTCTTTGAAGTTAGCTCAGCTTTATAAAGACGAAGGGGCATTCCTGACAAGAAAATAAAAGCACTCCCCACACACACTTCCCGAAACCCTTGGTACAAAGTGTCGTGTCTCGGTTGTGGTTTCCCCATGTCAAGAGTGCCACGTTGTGTGAAATCAGTGCATCTTTTGCGGGGCCTCCGTGGGATTGAAATTTTTCTTTCCTGTTAACTTCCAATGGCGACTCAGTAAGTGCTAACGGAGCACTGATTATATTTACCTGATTATATTTGCGTAAGGAAGCAGGCTACGCTGGATGCTTGATTTTTATTACTGTGGGGACACGGAAACCACCAAAGTTGGGTCACATTTGCCCCAGTAAGATAACTCGAGGGGTGAAAACCGATGTGAAGGTACGAAAGGATTGCGCCGTACGTACAACAGGAGTCTCTCTCCGCTGCCATGGTTTCTGATGAATGAGATTTGCCAGGTACAACGCCGAGGCTTTTTATTTGTTCTTAGTATTGTTCTTTTGGTGAAACGCTGTATGGAGGTCTTTTCCGGTTGTTTCAAGGGGGGTAACATAACAAGAGTAAGCCAGGGTATTGACTGAGGGTTACATTAGGAACATATTCGCAGCGTAAGATTTGTAGATGTCTGAGTTAGGTTTTTCTTTTGTTTGCTTGCCCCCCAACCCCCAACCCCCACACCCTATAGGTATTTAGGTAGATGAAAGGTTTCTCAGAATCTTCATTTGCACTCCCATCTATTGCTTTTATTTTATAACAGTTATAATGAAAAAGAATTATTATACAAATCTGTTTTCAGTAAGCTTCTGTTTCATTGGTTTAATGACTGCAGGAAAAATGGTGGGGTTTTTTCCCCCGTCTATTACTTGTAGGCTTACAAGCAGCAAACTTGGCATGAGTAAAAGTAATAATGATCTGAGTCATTTTGCAAGCAAACGGTGAAATAACTTTGCATTTTAAAGACCTGGGTGGCTTTCTTCATTCTTGCCCCCGACATAAACCTTTCTTAATACTGCTTACTAAGGTTTTACATTAATGAGAAATATTATATTTTGCCAAGGTCAGTGTATGTTTTAGTACATTGAGTGTAGAAGAGAAACACCTTGATATGAAAACATGTAGGTGCTTCTTTTATGAATTGAATGTGCTGTGCTTGACAAGAATGAAATAAAAGGATTAAAAAGTTCTTGCATTTCTGCACTCCTGATAATATTATTTCAGTGTATTGTAGTTTGAGCCAGCCATCCACCATGTTTAAAGTAATTGAAAAATAAGTTCTCTGGTGTTGTTTTGTGCTTTAATTAGATGTCTGTTAGAAAGAGATGATTAGGATAAAGGTCCAAGGAGTGGTTTTTTTTGTTATATTCAGAAGAGATCAGTGTTTCTCAGCTTTAGTACTATTGGCATGTTGGGCAGGATAATTCTTTGATGTGCATGCTGTATTGTGCATTGTAGGTTGTTCTGCAGCATCTTTGGCCTTTACCCTATTAGATGCCAGTAGCAGCCCCCTTAACCTGTAACCCTTGAAAATTTTCCAGATATCCCCAAATGTCCCCAGGGGGCAAAAACTAACCTCAGTCCGAGAACCACTGTTCTAGATTAACAGTTAAATATAGCTGAATGTGTAATGTAGAACCAAAAGTTGCACCTCTACAGCCAACTATAGCGAGAGTTACGAGGGAGGTGAATTTCAGAAGAAATAAAGGAATTGTTGTTTCTTCATACCAGTAACATTAGAAAGATTTCAGAATGGTTTTTAAAAATCTGTAGGTAACTGAATTCCTTCAGCTGTCTTTTCTACCTTTAGTCTTTTGTTTTTCTCTACATCTCTTTTCTGCAGAAATTTTGTCTTGTTGGCCCAGGCAACACTCTTCCTCCCTCCCCTCCTTATCTGTCTTACTCACTCTACCCTTTTGCACAGTTCCAACACCCTAGTTCCTATAAACAGAATGCTGGCTTACTTATTTCATAAATCTTAATCCTTGGAATGTTTGAAAACATTTTTTCCCCCCTAATTTGACTTTAGCAGTAAAGTGTTGACCTTTGGTTCTTTTTTTGGATGTTTAAGCAGCTCAATAAAATCATTCCCTGTAAAACACAGCAATTGAATCAACTAGAAATATAAAATGGTTTCTAGGTAACCCATAACCAATGTCAATTCCATTTACATTAGGTCTTCTTCCTCTTCATTGTTTTTGTCATCAAATGATTTTTTTTTTTCATTTAAAGCAAAATGCCTCCAAAGTGCATTTAAGACAGTGGATTAAATAGTTCAACATATTGCATTTTTTCTTAAGACATGTATTGTGTTTTTAGACATCTGAGTTCAGGGATTCAGGTATGAGATGCACGTTATTAGTAAAAAGATTTTGGTACTGGGTGTCTGTGATAACTTCTGTTTTTTCTCTCCAGAGGCATTTTTCTATCCTTACTAGGAGCTGTGAATTAGGCCTTAGAAAGGACCTAATGTAATCATTGACCTAAAGGAAATTAGGTCAGGGTTTGGGTGTTTGAGGGCTTTAGGTCTAGTTTTTAGACTTTAGTATTGGAATAACACTAGTAAATAGAGAAACTTATTTTAAAAAGGAAAGTCTTCTTTCCATTATGTATGACTAATTGTCTCAGGGGAAAACATTTTTTTATTGTTATATCTTTGAGGATGTTACAATTTATCATCCTTCTAAGGGCAGTATCACCAGCCCTCGCCTGTTGATTCAGTGAGACTATGTTGTACCTAAGGGTACTTATTAAATATTATTTTATGATCATTTCAAAGATATAAGGAGTAAAATCTCATGAATCAATTCTTCGTAAGTCATTTCACTCCAAAGCTTTGAGTTTTTATTTTCTTTCACTCTACCTCATTATCCTTCCCTGCATTCCACTCATCCTCACAGGAAAACCCAAATAAAAATCCACACCCTTATCTCCTTATTTAGCTTGGTTTAAATATTATAGGTGGAGTGAAAGTGAGATGAGGGATTAGATTTCTTTTGGTTGGTAAATATTTTTCTATCACTACCACCACTCAGCTGTTTGAGAAGCTACATCATTAACCTTTTTTGCTCCCTTTTACTTGCCCTATGACTTCCTTAGTTGAGAAATTCTGGAATTGCAGGACTTTTAGATTTTGCATTACTTTAGCTATTTCATTAGAATTGGCTCAGGATCTTAGATGTCAGAAAGCCTGTTTTTCTTGAATAAATGAACCTGGTATTTCAACATGTGTTATGGGCTTCTTGCTCACTCACCTATCTTGTATTAGCAATTATTTTGATAAAAGCTACAGGTGGTATTAAAGTATGTTTTAAGAGGGTTGATTTTTCTGTATCTTCTGTTTCTCATTCTCACATTTATAGTTCAAGTTCTCATCTGCCTCTGGCAGCTTAATTTCAAGTAGGCTTTCCTGCTGCCGCTCTTTGCTTCCAGCTGTTCTTCCTACCATAGGTGCCATGCTCATTCTTTGCTCAGAAATCTCTTTTTGACTTCTCCATTGCCTACAGAATAAAAACGCTCTTCTAGACCTGGCATTTCCCTGTCCTTACACTGTTTTCCTCAGGGCACTCTCCCCCTCCAAACAGGAACGGTTGGCATATGGGAAAGCATATTTGCACTCTGGTTTCTAGTGTTGGTTAGCCTTACGCCCTGTTTGCTTCCCCCACTAGTATGAGAGCACTTGAGGGGCAGAATCTTTATAAGCCTTCCTGTATCCCTAACAACTCATTTACTTAGGCATGTGCATCCTTAGTTCTTAATTGTGTTAATATCTTGTGTAGGATTAGGACTTAACCTAGAATATAAACGTTAGATGGGAATAAATAACTACCCAGACAAACAATGTAAACAAAAAATGAATAGTAATAGTATGTGATGCCCAAAATAAGTGCATGGTATCTAAATGCAAATTGTTTGGTTTAAAATTTCTTTTTCCATATTTATAAGAACTTTTAACAGTCATCCTATTGTTTGATAAATTAGATAAATTAGAGAAAATGCAGTGGATATTTCATTGGAGGAGTGTGCTTTGTTGCAGTTGTAGTGCTATTCTTTAAAAACGTTTCGGCTGGACACATCTAATTTTCTAATCTTTATTTTTGGTCTCGTGTAAATAAAGAGCATGAGCCTTGTTCAGTTTATCCATGATAGGAACTAAAATGCCGATATTAAAGGATTTAGTGGAAGATATTAGGAAATATAATGACTGTCTTATAGAATTTAGTAGGAGAGGTGATTTATAAACCTGAAAAAGAGTGCTGTAATTTTTTAAAATTAAATGTCCAACTACAGTCTTAATGTTTATTTTGTTACACATCTCTCTGCTTTGGAAAATTCAAGATACCACAAATTCACATGGGAGGACCTGAATGTATTTGTCACATTTCTGGGTCACATATTTCTTGGTCACATGTGGAATGCAGTTACCCAATGTGTGACTCCCCAGAGTGTGAAGCTCAGATCCCAGATGTCATTTGAGTCGAATGAAGTAAGGTCGGTTGCACCTAGTTTTGTAGTGCTTAAGTGGCTTTCTGTCAAATCTGGTAAAATACTAATTGAAAACCTTAACAGAAATAGGGCAAAGTAATTTTTTAAATGAATGTTTATTACTACAAACTTATTGGCTCAAAACAATGCCAAATTTATTTTGGCCAGAAATCCAAAATGGGT